CTTGCAATTTTGCACACGCTAGGCCCTTGTTCTTGCTATTTTGCACACGCTAGGCCCTTGTTCTTTTTATTTTGCACACGCTAGGCCCTTGTTCTTTTTATTTTGCACAAGCTATGCCCTTGTTCTTTTTATTCTGCACACGCTACGCCCTTGTTCTTTTTATTTTGCACATGCTAGGCCCTTGCTCTTGCAATTTTGCACATGCTAGACCCTAGTTCTTTTTATTTTGCACACGCTAGGCCCTTGTTCTTGCTATTTCGCGAACGCTAGGCCCTTGTTCTTGATTTTTTGCACATGCTAGGCCCTTGCTCTTGCTATTTTGCACTCGCTAGGCCCTTGTTCTTGCGATTTTGCACACGTTAGGCCTTTGTTCTTGCAATTTTGCACACGCTACGTCCTTGTTCTTTTTATTTTGCACACGCTATGCCCTTGTTCTTTTTATTTTGCACACGCTAGGCCCTTGTTCTTGCAATTTTGCACATGCTAGACCCTTGTTCTTTTTATTTTGCACACGCTAGGCCCTTGTTCTTGCTATTTCGCGAATGCTAGGCCCTTGTTCTTGATTTCTTGCACATGCTAGGCCCTTGCTCTTGCTATTTTGCACTCGTTAGGCCCTTGTTCTTGTAATTTTGCACACGTTAGGCCCTTGTTCTTGCAAGTTTGCACATGCTAGGCCCTTCTTCTTTTTATTTTGCACACGCTAGGCCCTTGTTCTTTTTATTTTGCACAAGCTAGGCCCTTGTTCTTGCTATCTTGCACACGCTATGCCCTTGTTCTATTTTTTTTGCTCACGCTAGGCCCTTGTTCTTGCAATTTTGCACATGCTAGACCATTGTTCTTTTTATTTTGCACACGCTAGGCCCTTGCTCTTGATTTTTTGCACATGCTAGGCCCTTGCTGTTGCTATTTTGCACTCGCTAGGCCCTTGTTCTTGCAATTTTGCACACGCTAGGCCCTTGTTCTTGCAAGTTTGCACAAGCTAGGCCCTTGTTCTTTCTATTTTGCACACGCTAGGCCCTTGTTCTTTTTATTTTGCACACGCCATGCCCTTGTTCTTTTTATTTTGCACACGCTAGGCCCTTGTTCTTGCAATTTTGCACATGCTAGACCCTTGTTCTTTTTATTTTGCACACGCTAGGCCCTTGTTCTTGATTTTTTGCACATGCTAGGCCCTTGCTCTTGCTATTTTGCACTCGTTAGGCCCTTGTTCTTGCAATTTTGCACACGCTAGGCCCTTGTTCTTGCAATTTTGCACACGCTAGGCCCTTGTTCTTTTTATTTTGCACACGCTAGGCCCTTGTTCTTGCTATTTCGCGAACACAAGGCCCTTGTTCTTGATTTTTTGCATACGCTAGGCCCTTGGTCTTGCTATTTTGCACTCGCTAGGCTCTTGTTCTCGCAATTTTGCACACGCTAGGCCCTTGTTCTTGCAATTTTGCACACGCTAGGCCCTTGTTCTTTTTATTTTGCACACGCTAGGCCCTTGTTCTTGTATTTTGCACATGCTTGGCCCTTGTTCTTGCTATTTTGCACACGCTATGCCCTTGTTCTTTTTATTTTGCACACTCTAGGCCCTTGTTCTTGCAATTTTGCACATGCTAGACCCTTGTTCTTTTTATTTTGCACATGTTAGGCCCTTGTTCTTGCTATTTCGCGAACGCTAGGCCTTTGTTCTTGATTTTTTGCACACACTAGGCCCTTGCGCTTGCTATTTTGCACTCGCTAGGCCCTTGTTCTTGCAATTTTGCACACGCTAGGCCCTTGTTCTTGCAATTTTGCACACGCTACGCCCTTGTTCTTGCTATTTTGCACACGCTAGGCCCTTGTTCTTTTTATTTTGCACACGCTAGGCCCTTGTTCTTGCTATTTTGCACACGCTATGCCCTTGTTCTTTTTTTTTTTGCCTTCGGTAGGCCCTTGTTCTTGCAATTTTGCACATGCTAGACCCTTGTTCTTTTTATTTTGCACACGCTAGGCCCTTGTTTTATCTATTTCGCGAACGCTAGGCCCTTGTTCTTGATTTTTTGCACACGCTAGGCCCTTGCTCTTGCTATTTTGCAGTCGCTAAGCCCTTGTTCTTGCAATTTTGCACATGCTAGGCCCTTGTTCTTGCAATTTTGCAAACGCTAGGCCCTTGTTCATTTTATTTTGCACACGCTAGGCCCTTGTTCTTTTTATTTTGCAAACGCTAGGCCCTTGTTCTTGCTATTTTGCACACGCCATGCCCTTGTTCTTTTTATTTTGCACACGCTAGGCCCTTGTTCTTGCTATTTCGCGAACCCTATGCCCTTGTTCTTGGTTTTTTGCACACGCTAGGCCCTTGCTCTAGCTATTTTGCACTCGCTAGGCCCTTGTTCTTGCAATTTTGCACACGCTAGGCCCTTGTTCTTGCAATTTTGCACACGCTAGGCCCTTGTTCTTTTTATTTTGCACACGCTAGGCCCTTGTTCTTGTATTTTGCACATGCTAGGCCCTTTTTCTTGCTATTTTGCACACGCTATGCCCTTGTTCTTTTTATTTTGCACACGCTAGGCCCTTGTTCTTGCAATTTTGTACACGCTAGGCCCTTGTTCTTTTTATTTTGCACACGCTATGCCCGTATTATTTTTATTTTGCACACGCTATGCCCTTGTTCTTGCAATTTTGCACATGCTAGACCCTTGTTCTTTTTATTTTGCAAACGCTAGGCCCTTGTTCTTGCTATTTTGCACACGCCATGCCCTTGTTCTTTTTATTTTGCACACGCTAGGCCCTTGTTCTTGCTATTTCGCGAACCCTATGCCCTTGTTCTTGGTTTTTTGCACACGCTAGGCCCTTGCTCTAGCTATTTTGCACTCGCTAGGCCCTTGTTATTGCAATTCTACACACGCTAGGCCCTTGTTCTTGCAATTTTGCACACGCTAGGCCCTTGTTCTTTTTATTTTGCACACGCTAGGCCCTTGTTCTTGTATTTTGCACACGCTAGGCCCTTGTTCTTGCTATTTTGCACACGCTATGCCCTTGTTCTTTTTATTTTGCACACGCTAGGCCCTTGTTCTTGCAATTTTGTACACGCTAGACCCTTGTTCTTTTTATTTTGCACACGCTATGCCTGTATTATTTTTATTTTGCACACGCTATGCCCTTGTTCTTGCAATTTTGCACATGCTAGGCCCTTGTTCTTTTTATTTTGCACACGCTAGGCCCTTGTTCTTTTTATTTTGCAAACGCTAGGCCCTTGTTTTTGCTATTTTTCACACGCCATGCCCTTGTTCTGTTTATTTTGCACACGCTAGGCCCTTGTTCTTGCTATTTCGCGAACCCTATGCCCTTGTTCTTGGTTTTTTGCACACGCTAGGCCCTTGCTCTAGCTATTTTGCACACGCTAGGCACTTGGTCTTGCTATTTTGCACTCGCTAGGCCCTTGTTCTTGCAATTTTGCACACGCTAGGCCCTTGTTCTTTTTATTTTGCACACGCTAGGCCCTTATTCTTGTATTTTGCACATGCTAGGCCCTTGTTCTTGCTATTTTGCACACGCTATGCCCTTGTTCTTTTTATTTTGCATACTCAAGGCCCTTGTTCTTGCAATTTTGCACATAGCTAGACCCTTGTTCTTTTTATTTTGCACATGTTAGGCCCTTGTTCTTGCTATTTCGCGAACGCTAGGCCTTTGTTCTTGCAATTTTGCACACGCTAGGTCCTTGTTCTTTTTATTTTGCACACGCTAGGCCCTTGTTCTTTTTATTTCGCACACGCTAGGCCCTTGTTCTTGCTATTTTGCACACGCTATGCCCTTGTTCTTTTTATTTTGCACACGCTAGGCCCTTGTTCTTGCAATTTTGCACATGCTAGACCCTTGTTCTTTTTATTTTGCACACGCTAGGCCCTTGTTCTTGCTATTTCGCGAACGCTAGGCCCTTGTTCTTGATTTCTTGCACATGCTAGGCCCTTGTTCTTGCAATTTTGCACACGTTAGGCCCTTGTTCTTGCAATTTTGCACATGCTAGGCCCTTCTTCTTTTTATTTTGCACACGCTAGGCCCTTGTTCTTTTTATTTTGCACAAGCTAGGCCCTTGTTCTTGCTATCTTGCACACGCTATGCCCTTGTTCTTTTTTTTTTGTGTGCAAAATACTATTTTTGCACTGCAACCAGCCGCCTGCGTGATGTTATGCATTTTGTGTCTGTTCTGTGTGCATTCGTTTTCGCATTTCATTTCATGCGTTGTTGCTGTGGGATCATGTTTGGTCATGACGGATCATGACGACTCATGTTCGTTCGTGTCGGCTCGTGTCCGCTCATGTTCGTTTCTCGTCGACGAACATGTGCGTTCATGAAGTTTCTGTGTTTCATGAATTTTCTGTGTTTCATGAATGCTCTGTGTTTCATGAATGTCGAATTGTTTTCATGTGTGCTGTTGAGAGTGTCGAGTGTGTTGAGTTAGGGGCTCGATTGTTTGACCAGCCCCGTTGACCATTTCGCGCTGGTCAATGAAAAAGTGCGCGAACTCAGGACCCGCGCGTGGGGTCCTGACACGCGCGTGTGGTCGTGCAGGGCCCACGCGTGTGTCGCCACTGTTTCGATCGTGCACAGTGGGCACGATCGATACAAGACGGAGCGACATGATCGCTCCGTCACGCGCAGGCAGGGCTGTCGATTCGTTTTGGGGCCCCCGGGCAAATCAGGGGGCCTGCCACGTGCGACCCTGTATCTAGCAGGGTTGGGGCGAGTCTTGGCCCTTTAGGCGTCAGGGCTGGAAAAAATTCCACCCTTTGAATCAGGTTTGGCGCGTCATATTTTGCTGCTTCATTTTAACTACAATGACTACAACTACAAACTAATACAAGCAAACACTACAAACAAAAATACTTGGCGTCAATTCTCTATGCATGCTTAGAAGGCTTCCTAGCCTTGGCAGCAGTGAAGATCTTGTGCACTTCTACCCACTCCACAGGATAGTCAAGCATCTTCACAGTCATCAGCTGATCTAGCTTAACATCACTAAGAGCAGTCCTGTCCCATCATTTTATGATGTTCTGTCTACTGAAGCCCCTTTCGCACTCAACAGTGCTAAGGGGCAGGACAGCAAGTGCGCGCCACAAATGCACGAGGGTGGGGTAATCATCCCTCCAGTCTGAGGTGCGTAGCACGTTGGTGAGGGCTTGCTGGAAAGTCAGGTCCTTGAACTTTTTGAACATTGTGGCAGCAAAGAGCTCCATCTCCAGCTGACACTCCTGGTACGTGACACCTGCGGGTGGTGGGGTGGGCGTAGGAGAAGAATAAGTTAAACATGGAAGCACCTATGATAATAACACTGCTGGGAATATAAAATGTACTGGATCATGGGCATTCTTACGTACCGGGCAGCTTCTCCTTGAACATGTCAAGGAGTTCGTAGAGGTGGACGTTGAGCCATCCTTCACGGTCAGCAGGGCGCGGCGGGTAGTGCATTGGCATGAATTGTTTTGCCCCGTCAAAATGCTTCAGGTCCCCAAGGCGGGAGTCCAGCTTAGCGATCAACTCCTGCGCAAACTCCTGCCCCAGCTTGATGCACGAATCCAGGTCCGTCTTCTTGTCTTTGCCGATGGGGTTTTCATGCAGTATGTCTTTGATGGTGCATGCGGTCCCTTGCTTGTCGAGGCCGCGGATGGTGATCTCGCGCTTGTCAGGGCTGCCGTGCTTCTCGAGAAAAGCATGCAGGTGCTTGCTCTTCGAGGTCCCATAGTCTGCGCGGTTCTCCACGTAACGTTGCGCCAGCTTCAGCTTCAGTTTATCGACGAGGAGCTTCACCTCGCCGATGTCCACCTGCTCATTAGCAGGGGCAGGGCAGAGGGGCAGGGCAGAGTGGCAGGGAAGAGGGGCAGGGCAAAGGGGCAGGGCACAAGGGCAGGGCACAGGGGCAGGGCAGAGGGGCAGGGCAGAGGGGTAGGGCAGAAGGGCAGGGCACAGGGGCAGGGCAAAGGGGCAGGGCATAGGGGCAGGGCACAGGGACAGGGCACAGGGGCAGGGCACAGGGGCAGGGCAGAGGGGCAGGGCAGTTAATAAAGAGCGCGTGTATCAGCAAAGGCCATGACATGATGCAAACTTACCACCAGCCTCTGAAACGCCATGTTGAGGGTGTTGAGCATCTCCAGCACGTCGGCGAGGAAGAAGAGCATGAACTGAAACTTGAAACTTGTGCCGATCTTGTACGCGGCTTGGTCCTCTTCGTGCCAAAGCCAGAGGAGGATTGGCAGCACTTCGCAAAACCGCGACACTGCATCCCCGCGTGAAAGCCAGCGCACGTCGAAAATGCCCTGAACTTCCAGTTGGGTTTTCATGACCACGTCCTGCAGCTGCATGAAGGCATCTCTGGAGATGCTGGAGCGGCCGATGTGCTCAGCAGTCTTGCGAATCTGTGAGTCAATGACATTGAAGTCAGGGAACTTCTTGGCAGCATCCTTTACTGCCAACGCCTCCCTGTGACACGGGTACCAGTGAAACATGAGTTAAAAAACAGCAACTAGAGATGAGAAAGGAACATACCAAACAAGCATTCTGACTCACCGGTGTGCCACGCAGTGCACAGCAACGAGCCACGGGCAGCGCTGCATTAAACGACCCACAACCCCCTTCTTCATTCCCACCATAACCTTGGCACCGTCAGTGGACACACCCGCAAGCTTGTCCAAGGACAAGCCTTTGCTGTCAAGATGCGCCGTGATGGAAGCGTACAACGAGGCGCCATCGGCTTTGTCGACTGGTATGTTGCCAAAAAACTGCACCTCCGTCTGCTCGTTGCGCTCGAAGTGCACATACATGATCATGTGCTTGCCGTGCGCGCGGTCCGTGCTCTCATCGAATGAGAGCCCGTACCATGGCGAGGCTTGGACGTCTGCCAGCTGGCGCCCTTGGAGGTAGCTTGCGAGCGCCGAAACAAACTCGCCGCATGCGTATCTGCAAAGGTGCATAAGCAGAATGTTAGATTGTATAATGGTAACAAGCAGAAACAACAACGCATTACCTTGAGTAGTATCGCCCGTATGCCTCTTCATTAGTCATGTCTGGGCAGCCCTGCTCAGCCATGAACTTAACAAGAAGCGTGTAGAGCATGATTGGTGCATCATTTCGACAACACCAATAAGCTGCCTGAATACATTTCACCACTCTGCGAGTCAGCGGCTCAGAGCTCAGAAGTTCTAGGATACTACGCTGTTGCCTCTCTATGCCCTTAGCGATATGGTCGGCCGTCACAGCAGCAAGGTGCAGCCTCGAGAACTCATGACCTCTGCAACACCCCACCTGAAAATCACGCGCTCCTATGCCAAGAGGGCCAAACGGAGATTTGCTGTTCTTGGCATGGGCTTTGCAAATCTTACACTTCATACCGTACATCTGTTGCTCGTCGTCATACTCGAGCACCAACCACTTGAAGGTTTGCTTCCACCCAGGGTTCCACTTCTCGACCAGTTTCTTCTCCGACGCAGGGACATCCTTGCGTTCCGCGGGATTATCCACAGCAGGAGCGACCTTGTCATCCACGGTCGACACCTTCCTCGAGCGCTTAGGAGGTGGAAGGTGTGGTCCCGACCACGACAGTCGCGTCTGACGCATGCGCTGGCCCGGAGTGGAAGAAGCTTCACTGGCGCGGCGAGACACACGATCGACTAGCTGGACCTTGACCTCGTGGAAGTTCTCATCAGCGCCATCACATGTACTCTCTTTCTCACTATTAGAGTCTAAGGCGTTCTCGTCATCGCCATCACCAAGACTCTCGTGCTCACTATCCGAATCTAAGGCGTCGGGCCTTTCAGAGTGGACGGGGGTGTTGGAAACTCGAGGTACTGGGACGGTCGATGCTGTACGTGTCTCACTAGAAAGCTCCATTTCTGCCACGATGCGTAAGTGTTAAACATGGGTCTTTTAATTAGGCAGTGCTTTGTGTGAGAGCTATAAGGGATTGATGGATGGAGTACGAGATTAGAGGAGAAAGGTGACGGAAGGAAGGCTGGCTTGGCGTGGCGTGGCACGTCCTCTCTTTCTCCTCGTCTCGTCGTCGTACCGTCGTGCAGTACGAGGCGCACTGCACGAGGGGGATCTGACGTGTTTTTCTGCTGCTGGGCTGGTGCGTCCTTGCTGGGGCACTGCACGACGGGGATATGAGATGTCCGTTGCTGCAGCAAGTCCGAGTCATGCTTCTGTCTGTGTGTTGTGGCAAGGGAGCGAGGATGTGATTGGTGGCACAAACACAAGTTCTATGTTTGTGAGTGACCCAATCACGCAACTCCAAGTTTGCCAGTTTGGTTGGGTTGGATTGGATGGATCCAATCAAGATTGAAATGCGGGGTAGGGGGGGGGGGGCTATGGAGGAGTTTGGGGGGGGGGTGGGGGGGGGGGGGGGACTCGAAAGATTTTGTTCCAGGGCTCGATTAAAATCTACCCTTTACACTCCAGACCTAAGCCCTGATTGAGCCCTGTAAGGAATCAGGGCCAGAAAATTTCCAACCCACCAATTTCAGAATTCAAGGGCAACCCAGCCCTGGAATTCAAGGTCCAGCAGGGCAAACGCTCTGCAAGCGACAGCCCTGCGCGCAGGACAACGCACGATCGCGTCAGCGATCGTCTTGTCCTGCTCGACCGAGAAATATCTCGGTCGTGATGAGGGGCACGTGGGGCACGTGGGGCACGCGAGATTTTACGGTTGACTAACGGGATTTCGCGCTGACCAGGCGAGCAAAAAAATTCGCCAGAAAGTCGCGCTGCTTTGCTTCATTATTTCGACAGAAGTACAAAACGGTAAAGTCCGTTTGTAACTGAAGAAAACGGTAAACCCACACGAGTGTTCATAATTTGTACACGAGCGATCATGAATGTTCACGAGGGGAGTCAGCAGGAGAATTTGGCAGCAGTGCAGTGGAAGACAGTTATTCTACAGAGGCAGATCAAGCCAAATTCTGAAGCAGTTTTACAGCCGTTTTCCATGACAGCAAAGCGAAGACCTGGACGACAGTTAGACAACTGTTTTGTGTGTTCTCCTTTGTGCACCTAGGACCTCTCTTATATGTGTGCTTGTATTTGCTTTCATCAACAATCCTTTTCATGATTTTCAAGCCTACAATCTACAACTACGTATTGACGAGAGTAGATATACAATGAACTCCTGCCGAAACTCTGCTCTACCAGAACGCTCATTCTGCAAGCTAAGTGTGGCATAACTACTCGCTTGGTTCACAAGTGATGTTAAGTGTTGCCTAGCTTATGTTTGTGGTTCTGAGTTAATCGCTTCCGCATAGTACTTAGACTTAACACGTGGTATCATAGCTGGTCATTAGTCGTTCCTGACGTACCCGACGATGGGAGAGACTGGTGAAGAAGGGAACTCAGCCCCCGCGAGCAGTGGTAGCCAGGAATCTGGAGTATCCGCGCATAGGGGAGCACGGACGAACCAGGGCCCGCTGCTAAGGGAAGTGTTGAAGAACTTCACAGTTGAAAAATTCAGTGGTGAAGGGTACGACGACTGGTCCTGGAAGATGCAGCTGTACTTTCGGCAGATTGGCCTTCTCAAGTTGATGATAGGCACCGAGAAACGACCAAGCACCCCGGAGCTGCAGAACGAGTGGGACGAGCGCTCATCCGCCGGGTACTACATTCTGTCCCAGAGTTTGGATCTCGCCCAACGCCAACACATCATGCACCTCCTCCCGGAGGAAGAGTGTGGACCCAAGGCATGGAGAGTGCTCAAGGATCTACACGCCCCCACATCAGTTGTTGCTACCCTCATGCTGGAGAGGGAGCTCTCCTCACTTCGCCTCAGTGAAGGAGAACTCGTTCAACCCGTCCTTGACAAGTTGAGAGACCTCTATGCCAAGCTCGCCATCGCTGGAATTGTCTACCCCGAACAAACCAAATGCATGAAGATATTGTCGCTGCTGCCGGAGTCATGGATGATCTTCACAAGCGGCCTGAGCCTCCCTCAAAACCAGAGCTCTTGGACCCTGGAGTGGATCTGAACCAAAATCCTCGAGGAGGACTTCAGGAGGCGCCAACTGAGGGGAGGTGAAGAGGGGAGCAGCAGCTACGCCATGCAAGGAGGAAAACGGGGCAGAGGCAAGAAATGGCAAGGGGCTGGGAGAGGAGCGTCCAAGGAGGAAGAGCCCTCCACCCAGCAAGGCGGTAGAGGAGCAGGACGTGGTGTCGGCCGAGGAGGCAGAGGGGGAGGAAGGGGACCGGGGAGAATGGAGGGCAAGTGCTGGTACTGTGACAAAGTGGGCCACCCGTGGTTCAAGTGCAGGACTAAACCCACCTGGTGGACCCCCTCCAACAGGACTCAAGATGGGAGCGGCACCGGAGCGGTTGCCGATGATGAACCGACCGAGCAGGAGGAGAGGGAAGCCGGTCAGTTCTTCCACGTTGGAGAGCCGGATGAGGACGCAGTGGTTGCCCATGCTGGAGCTGCACTGCACCCGCTCAACACGTGGATTCTAGACACAGGAGCGGCATGGACCATGACTCCAAGGGCCGATCTCCTTGACAAAGTGGGGACTGCACCGATTGCGAAGGTGAAGTCGGCATCCGGGCACGCTCTCAAGGTGACGGGGGTGGGACGTGCTGCATTCAAAGGAGCCGATGGCAAACCAGTGGTGCTGAGTGATGTGCTTCTTGTCCCTGACCTTAAAGCTAACCTGATCTCCCTCAGGAAACTAGGCAAGTGCGGGGTCAGCACCTCCACCGAAGGAGCCAAGACATTCACGGGGCAACTGGGAAAGCGGGTGTTGTGGGACCTTCACGAAAGCCGTGACATCTGCAACTCCATGTGGCAGCTTCCTGTGATGGCATGGGGCAAAGAGGGTGGACCTGAGGGGGAGTGCAACGCTGTAGCTGCAGAGGAGCTGAAGGTCTCAGCAAGGAGCGGTGAAACCGACTGGATGACAGCTCACCGTCGCCTCGGGCACATTGCAATGCCCGCACTGCAGCAACTACAAAAGGAGGAAGGAGTTAAGGGAATGAAGCTGACAGGTGCAGCAACAACTCACAAGTGTGAAACTTGCTTGCTAAGCAAGTTTACTCGGTTCCCGTTCCATGCAACCGAAGGTGGCGGCAAGAAACTGCTGGAGCTGGTGCACATGGATGTGGTGGGGCCGCTACCGGTCGTGGGGGAGCGTGGGGAGAAATACTTTCTCACCATCGTGGATGATTGGAGCCGAGTCACCTGGGCATACCCCATCAAGAAGAAGGACCACGTGCCGTCCATCATACGCGATGAATGGCTGCCATTTGTGGAGAAACAATCCGGGAAAAAGGTGAAGCGGATCAGGACTGATAGGGGTGGGGAGTTCCTTGGGGAAGAATTGACTGCATGGCTGAAGAAGCAGGGCATCATTCGAGAGCTCACAACCTCTTATACTCCACAGTCCAACGGCATAGCGGAACGGGCGAATCGCACGGTGTTAGATACGGCACGGGCACTTCTCGTCGAGTCGGGGTTAGGGAACCCAAAGTGGCCACATGCTGTGCGCCACGCCACGGTGGTTAAGAACAGGGTGTTCACCAACGTCAGTGGTGAGTCATGGGTCCCCATGGAGAGGTGGCTTGGGAGGAAGCCGCCCATCGACATGCTGCGTGTGTTTGGCTGCATGGCTGTGGCCCACATCCCAAAGGCTCATCGCCACAAGTTGGGTGCAACAGCCGTGTGGTGTGTGCATTTGGGGTTGGCAGCCGAGAGCAAGGGGTGGCTGCTGTGGGAGCCGACCAAGGGAGTTGTGTTCGACAGCAGGGACGTCAAGTTTATGGAAGACATCACCTACGGGAGCTGGTCAAAGCAGCCAAAGGAGCAGAGCGTGCAGCAACTGCAGCAGGCAACCATGGGGTTTGATGCGGAGGAATGGGTAGAAGCGGAAGGTGCAGCGGCACATGAAGAGGAGGGTGCATCAGAGCTTCCTGTGGTCAAGGACGTGGAACCAAAGGCTGTACCTGAAGAACCTCACCCCTTAACTCGTGTGCTTCCTCCCACCCTTCCCCAAAGAAGGACCCAAACCAAATCCCCCCCCACAGGCCGTGGTCGTTCACCCATGATTGAAAGGCAGATGCGAGCAGCCGCATTGAAGCTGAGAGACTACAAAGGAGCAAGGGGAGAGCAGCAGCAACCTGATGCCTTGCTGGTGCTTCAAAGCAGCTGTGACTCTGATGAGGAAGCTGAAGAAGAAGTCTACTGCTTCATGGCACCTGCACCAACTCAGCCACTGACCATGGAAGAAGCCCTTAACGGACCAGACCGGGACAAGTGGTTGGCATCAAGAGATGCTGAATATAACAGCCAAATGGAGAATGGGACATGGGAGCTGGTGCCACTGCCGGAGGGGAAGAAAGCCATAAGCTGTGGCTGGATTCCAAGGATTAAAACTGACAACAAAGGAGCCGTGTCGGTCTACAAGAGCAGGCTGGTGGCAAGGGGTTACCAACAGAAAGAATGGGAGGACTTCAAGGAGACCTTTGCTGCAACTCCTAAATCACCAACGTTGTGTGTTCTCCTCGCAGGTGCAGCTGTGTGTGGGTGGGTGATAGTGCAGATGGACATCACCACAGCCTTCCTCTATGGGCTGATCGATGTGGAGGTG